CGGGCGAAAGCCGAAACTTTGCGCCGGAATATTACGAGGGGCTTTATGCTCTCTCCCATGGAACTTACCAGGCCACGTTTCGTACGCGATCGATTTTCGTTATGAGGGTTGATTCACGTGCTCGCCCTAGCGACGTAGGGCGGGAATCCACCACATTTAAAGCCGAACAACGGATAGCGTGTATAATCCAAAACGTTGGGACGAATCAGCAGGGCAGCCTCGATCCTCGTACGCGTTTCAACGGTCGTTTCATCGTGGAACCTGTTGGATGTTTACACCTGAACGACGATTTCACTGGGGGGAGAGGAGGGGGGATCACACCGATGCCAGGGATTATCGATGCCTTCTCCTCGTTTTTCGCACTTTTTCAACACTGAGAAACTGTCGGAAAACTCGGCTTTCATTTCACTGAAACACACAGGGAAGACTTTTCATTGATTGGCGACAACGATTTTCCGATCACTTGGCGAGCGGCATCCGCTTCTTTCTTCTCTTCCCGAAACAAATTCCAACACCTTTCCAACACGAAATCCCTATCATCGATCGACCGCTAATTAAGCTAGCCGATCCAACCACCTCGTTATCTATAAATACACCGGCCAATTATACCGTCGTTTCTCCCCGATCCATCCATTCATCCTGCGTCGTTTATCCCTGCGCTTGGATCGACGCACGATCGTTCTTCCCACACGATCTCACCAATTGCCGTTTCACGCACGCACACGGAACGGAGAGAGAAAGAGAGAGAGAGAAAGAGAGAGAGAGAGAAAGAAAGGAAAAAAATAGGAGAGAATTGGACCGTTTTATCGCGTCTCGAGAGCAAATCCACGTGACAATGTTTTCCAGCTCTAATATCGCACTTGACGCGGAAACAGCTCGAGGAACCGTGACATCCCTCAGGTTCGTGACACTCCGACGATCCTCTCTCTCCTCACTCGCGACGCCACTCACACGCGCGAGACCGTGGACGTTAACCTTCCAACCGCCCAACCGAGATTCACTTTAGACCTGGCTCTCGTCGTTGGCGAACACCTCCCTCGCCCCCGTTTCGCACCCCACTCCTCCCCGTATGTCCGCGCCCGTAGCAACCCCTAGAACGTAGATACCCACGATGACGTCCTTCCCACGAGGACGTTCTTGGCGGAGCGTCGATCGACCGTCGANTGTACCAATTCCTAACCTCGAATCCCGATGGTTAGCTCAGAGCTTTCGCCTCGTGTCCAACCTCCTCGCCGACCACGTGCATCGAAACGATATATCCTTCCACCCTGGCGATCCTCCACGTCAATCACCACCAATCACCAGCAACATCGCACCTCTTCCTATCGTATCCAGCCGTATCGATCAATTTCAACTCACTTCGGTTCGCAGTGCACTGAAACGAACCGAGCGACCCGCGATTCAACGCCTCGTTTCTCGTCTCGACCGAACCGAGCACAACCTCTTCCTCTTCTCTCCTCCTTTCCACGGCTCGGCAGGGCGCGCGGCAACGCCAAGTCGAATCGCTGATAGCAACCGTGGCGAGCACAAGCGTGTTGGTTGCACGCGATAACGGTTTCAGGAGAAAGGAGAAAAGTTCGCGACGGGACCCCCAGGAGCGAACTCGACGCAGCGTCGCTC